TTCAAGGTGAGACGCAAAAATTCTTCGTCAAGCAGCTTCTCGGGTAACCGTTCTTTAGGAAAATTTGGAACATATATTAAATCTCTGCGTTTAAGTAGTTGTTAATATTACAAGTTTAATGTGCACGAAAGCTCTTATACTTCACCATGTTCCTGAGAAACACAAGGTGTCGGATGTAAGTGTCGGTTCGAAACAGAAAGGATTTTCAGTAAACCGAAAGCACAAATCCAAGCGAACGTGTCTTCTTCCTCAGCATATTCAAGAAAGGTACTGTAAAGCTCTTTTCCTCAGCTTCTGTCGTGAAGCATATTCAGCCAGTGACATCTCAGCTATTCATATAATTGACGAAATTTTCCATTTTTTCCAGTTCATAGTTATTTTGTTGGGGGTAATACGAAAATATCATAAAAGAATCTGGCACAAACAGTGGTCGGACTTCCGGAGAGCATTTATCCCGGCGATGACATCAGTCGGGACAAGTTTGAAAAAGCCTGAATGTCGGAGACAGGGTTCATTCCTTGGAGAATAAATTTCTATAGAAAAATTTCTGATGTACACACTGCCGTGAATTAATCTTGTGCACCGGATGCCCGAACAGCGACGTGAAAGACTGTTGCATAGAGGATAACCCAGATCTTCCAGGATGCTCATTTCTAGTCTTAGGACTTCCTTGGGAATACTATCTGCGTGCATTATGCAGCGAACAGAAATGCCGTAGAGCTTGTCCACTGAGCGTATAGAACGGACCAACGCGAAACAATCCCTCGCAAAGAAGAGGTCCCTGATGAACAGCGGAGATTCACAGATGAAACGAAGACAGATAAACGAGAGGACAAACAACCGCATTACTGACTGATGGAGCCTGACAGCCAATAGTTTTCCCGCGCAAATCAAAAACACCAAGTGAAATCGAACTTACCGTTAATATCCTGGCGAGAGTATCCGTCATTGAAAGCGGACTGTTCGATCAGAATGCATTGTTGGTAAACGGTACCGACGCCGACGTGCAACACAAACTAAAACTTGACACTACTGATCATTAACGATGTTTAAAGGTTATTTACGGTTGGTATGAATAACGTTTCGCTGGTCATTCATAACCCTGTGCAATGTTACTGAGCGAATTTAGGAAGGAAAAAGTTTTTTTTTCAAAACAAAAACTCAATCACTGCTCCTCCGACAAACATCGATAGAAAGATTCCGACTGCAACTCATTTTAATAAAGAATAATCACATCTATACTTTTACAGTAAGTAAAAGTAACAGTAAGACGGATTAGAATCCATATTGAGTCGTTAAAATGACTTTCCCCAAGAGCAAGGTGCATTATCTAGGTCTGAGAAGTAGCTTCATTTTGCATGTTTATTCGAATTTAATATACATATCTTACTCAAAAAACAAAAACGATAAAATCTGCAACTAAGATATATTTTGGCAGATGATAGTAAACAAACATGGACGAGTCTATATGTCACCTGGATCGGCTGTTCGGCTACGAATCGCGCCGGCGGCAGCACAGTGTGTTAGGGTAAATGACTGACTATCAAAAAGTTTACTTAACAAGGACAACCTTCTTTCCATCATCTCCACATCTAGAGTCATTTGTGCCTGGAACAGAACAGTCATTCCTTATACGGTCCTGCCATTTAACCTTCACTATGGATTTAAGTCAACGCTCTTGTATTCAGTTCAACAATCGTTCTTGCAGCTTCTTTCTTTCTTTCTTGAAGTCTTATCTAATCGTTAGGCTGTCTGCACGAGCAGTTACACATAATTTTGCTGCATTATATATCAGCATGTTACCGTGTTCACTACACAGATTCCCGCCCTTGACTGAAGAAATTGCCTATATTCCGCAAAGAAATCATATCTAGTTTCACACGTTGTTATTAAAATCTCAATATAAAACTTTATCTAAAGACAAAAAGAGAAGTGCGAGAAGCAGATTTATCCTGATTGAAGCTGTTCAACCGGCCGCAAAAACAGATTTATCGTCATAATCAGTAAATCAGTTTCGCTGACCGTTTATCCTTTCGGGTCGCGGAGACAACTCGTTAAAGTGTCTCCAATGTACCTGAACCTGTGTCTGCACTCCAGCTTCTGCAGAAGATAACCCGAGTCTGGAACAGAGCCCGTCGACACTTTCTTCAGGTTATTCTTAACCGTTCCCAGGGATTTCGGCAGGTTGGTTAAGCAAACAGTAACTGTTTCATCTTCCTTTCAGGAATCATTCGCAAAATGTGCCAAACCATCACAGCTGCAACTTCTTAATCTTAACAAACAGCTGTTTACCAAGGCTGTTTTTGATATCTATACACTGGATCATGTCGAGATGCATGATCCCAGCGATCGTCTCAGAAAGCCCATTTCAGATGCTTCTACCCGGCATCGGTCCACGACTCATGATCATTGACGAGTAGTGGATGAAGATCGACCTGAACACAGAGAGTTTAGTCTTCAGACTCACCTCAGTGTTAGTCACAACGATCT